AATTATCACGGGCTGTAATAAAAAACAAGTAGTCCTATACTAATACTAAGAGTAAATATGGTTCGAATAGCCTAGATATTTTAGTAGGCTATAAATATGTGGCTATGTTACAGCTCCCCTTTGAAGCTCTTGTGTTTTTCTCCTTATCCATCTCTCCAATCCTATTCTGCACACAGGTGACTGGAGATTAGTTTTGTTCCCATTTTTGTTGCAGTTGGCTGATTTTTGTAAAATAGCTTCTGTTTTTACAGTACAGAAAGAAGGCAAGCTGAAGACAGTTTGCTCTGCTGTGGTGATGCACTGGTAGAGTAATGAGTTCAAATCATGAGTTCAATTTAGTTAAACATGGCGTGATGCTAAACTTACTGGCATCTTATCTTTCTTAGCAAGCTACACATGAATGCTTACAGAAAAACGCATCACTGCGGCATGATATGCTGTATTTAATCGAAAACTATTTTAATCCGTATTTCTTTACATAATTATTATACATACAACATTATTATATCATAAATTGAGGTAACGTAATATTTGCACTTTTAAAAACTTAGTTTGTTGGTGGATTAAAGACTAAGAACTGCAAAAATGGTACATCGTGAGCATTTTTTAAGGTACCGGTAACCATCTAAACCTAAAATTTATCAAGTTTGTACAAAACAAAAACAAAAAACCGTGTTGTCAACTATTGACTTGAGAATATAGCTAAGAATGTAAGTTTTACCACAGCAGTAATATCAAAATACAGTGCTGATATAACTATAATAACTAATATTGTCCGTGGAACTGCTGCTAACAATAGTAAAATCGTAGTAGTCAATGTTTGCTTACTAGGTTTATTTTCCTGAAGGTCATAGTAACGGTCAAGGCTTACTGAAAAAACAGGCGTGTCTTCGCCCGCGTGAGTCGAGTGTGCTGCTCTGATTGTGATTGGAGGACGGAGAAGAAACGAGAAGCTTCCAGAAGAGAACAGACTGGCGCGCTGTGAGTGTGTGTGAGAATGAGAGAGAGAGTGCGTGCGAGACTGCGAGTGTGTGCTTTCTAGAAGCTTCTCGTTTTCAATAGTGGGTGACACAATTTTTTTTAAAGTATTCTACGCATACGTTCAATTAATATTGAGTGATAAAACAATGCTTTTTAAATTAGAATTATTAAAAAAATAATTTTAAATGAAGTATAACGTGTCACACTGCTCGATACTGTTCCTGATTCAACCCTTTCAAAGAATCTGACATTTTAATCCATATTCCGCTGAGATTTTGTTCATTATTAATCAGGCTTACGTAATGATGAATGACTTTCCTCAAATACCGCGGACAGATTTCTCCTTTTTATATTCCGCCCCCCCATGTATAAATATACAACTCTCCTGTGAAGTTTACCGTACTAATCCACCACAAACTCGGTGTATATTATTGTTTTATCTTTAAAAGTTATGAAACCTGCCAAATCATGAATTTTTCTTGTCAAGAAGCTGCAAACCTTATGAAAAAGCATGGTAGGCAAAACATTAAGATGATGTAATCAAATTATAATACCAATATCACAATTTTATACAACACGAGATTTTAAATAAACTTCAAAATTTATTAATGACATGTTTCGTGCGCTCTGAAATAGTTTGTATTAATGTCTGTTACATGAATTGAATGAACAAGACTGTACTCCAAAAGAAGTGTGGCCTGGTGCACAGAAAAACCCAGTGTTTTCAACACATTCAAAGCAATATTTCCAGAGTCCTTCCCCTAATCTTCATTCATATGTGTGGTCCAGATTAGGAGAGTCCGGATGGTCTTTATCTTTAGCTCAGGGTGAAGGGTCTGTTGAACTTGTCAGGCGCTGGTTAATAAAACAAAGAAAAGTCAAAAAATGAAAAACATAAGCCATAAGATTACAAGAACCGGATTCATATCAAAAGGGCAAAAAAAGGTGTGGTAGTAAAAATATATCTTGCGTTTTGGCACTAATCAAGTTGAGACGGCATAATACTTAACATTTATCTCCCAACGTATTGCTACACCAACAAGCAAAGGCATAATTCAACACCAGAGAACAATGGCAGTGATAACGGTCGCCTGCCTTTTCCAAAACTCTTTCTTACCGAGTAAATGTGGCCACGATTTTACTGTCAAAATGGCTTGCACCTTCGTGAAGAGCAAAATTTGGACGGAGAGAACGGTTTTAAAGATAAGCGTTGGCAAATATGAAGCTACCAAATAGTGATGGTCTCTCGTACATTCCCAATGCTTGCAGAGTTAGCTGTGGAAATCCTGAACTCATCAAACCCTTCACATAGGTTGACTCCAGCCAAAGGCAATATGGGCAAACACAAAAACAACACAACCCTTTTACTAAAACAAAATAGAAAAATAATTTAGAGCCAAAAAATCTGGATGGCATTTCATGGTAAACAAATACTTTACGTGATGGATTTTACAAAAAACATAAACCCTAACAAAACGACTGCAATAATGCAACAGTGGTGGTTGACTGAGTACATATGAGCACACATGTATCTCAGTTTAAACAGAGTACATCTCTGCAAATGTGAGTTTATTAGTTTTTGAGACCCTGAATGCATCTGCACACAGTTTTGCGTGTCCATCATCAGATTCCGTTCCCCTCTCGTCGGCGTTACATTGTCCCAAGAGGTTCTCCAAAATGGATCTTCTGGCCTGCTTTCAAATTAAAGGTAAAATCCCTTGGAGCTTCGAATAACAGTACAATAGTCGAGCCCAAGTTGAACTCGCCCAGGTGCTCTCCTTTTCTCATGCTCACACCTTCCTGGCTGTTGTTAGTTACGTAGCTGAAGTCGTTGTAGGTTCCTTTGTTGTATCGTGGGTTGTTGGTGCGGAGCTCCTAAAGAGAGAAAAACAGTTGTTAATTGTCCATGCACTAAAACCGAATTAAAACTCCAACTATCCTCCAAATCTGGTACTTATAACAGATGGGGAACCTCTCTATTTATTTTAATACAAATAAAATACATTAGATTTAGGGAAAATATGCCATAAAAAAAAAAAAAAGCACAGTCACGACTTAGTGAGGTCACATCCTGCTATTGAAATACCACTTATCAAGTCAGGATACAACAAACAGGTGCCACTACAATCTACTGTCAAACTCTCATCTCACCCATTAACCCACATTGTTACACAAGTCCACAACTGTCTAGTGGTCTGATTGCGAGCAGTAGGAATGAGGCCAAATCCACTCTTAGTGATGTAGCTCAATATTCTGCTAATGCTGAAAAACCACAAATGGTTTTTACAGAAAATACATCATACGCCAAACAAGATCGATTCAGTGGCAATTCAGAATAAACCCAATATACTTCAAGCAAAAGAACTGGTGTGATGTCATTTCAAACAAAGGCCAAAATCAGGTCAAAACTAAGTTCTTTTGGAGTTCATTTCGGGAGTTCTAACCAGACTGCCAAAGTGATCTCTGGCTGGTAAACACCTCTGAACTACCATTGGTCTGTGGTGATTACGTAATAGTTACATCAATTAAAAACCTACATCAGCTTTGGCGTCTGTTGTTGTTGTTGTAGTTCTGTCTCTTTTTTGACAATGGACCGGGACATTGTTGCTACCTTTTGGACCAACTAATTATTGCAAAAACATTCAAGCCGCATGTGTGAGTTGAGCATACAGGGTATGCAAAGTTAGACAAATCAGGATGTGTGCACACAGTACGCACTTACTATGCTGATTACTAAATTTACGTTATAACACGCACTGTACACATACCCTAGCATTCACATAATTTATTTTTTTTAAGATTTACTTTTGGTGTTTTTGCCTTCCTTCATTATGATAGGACAGTAGCTTGACAGGAAGCGAAATGGGAGAGAGGTAAGGGAACAAGAAAGGTCCGCGAGCTGGGACTCGAACTCGGGACACCCGAAGCATAATGGTGCTATATGTCGGCATGCTGCCCATGAGGCTATCGGCGCCAATATAATGAGATATTTTGAAGAATGTTCATGCTGCTCTTTTTCCATACACTGCTGTGACCAGAGGTTGGCAAGCAAAAAAAAAAAAGTAAATTAAATTCAATAAAATTGTAAAAAATTCAATATGCCGTCTAAACTGACTAAGGTCTATGGTCGACTAGTTAATTAGTGAGGTTGACAGTTGAGTTTTAATCGGTTTAGTGGTGGATTGGAAAGGGTAACATTTAGAGGAAAGAAGCAAGTCTCAAATAACTAAGATATACAACATCTTGAAGATCATTTTTACATACTGAAAATGTGCTATATTATGGCTCAGTGTTATTTTTATATGGTATTAGTTATACGCTATTATAATATTCATTAATATTTTGAATAAGCTTTTATTTTTATATTTTTAGTGTTAATTGTAAGTTTCAGTATGTACTATTGTCATTTATTTGTGAGGTGTTGTGGAGAGATTAAAGTATAGTCTGTTGCTGATTCTTTATGGTGCTACTTGTCCCCGGGAGCTCTTCAGACCCAACAGATGACTGCTTTAAAAATAGCTGCAGTACAAAAATGGCTCAACAAACAGCTGGAAGCCATGAACTAGATGTTGCACAACTACAATATTTCTAATCTAACAGCTATGAACCTTTGAATGAGGAGAATCACCCTTTCAGTCAAAGCATTCAGGATACCCTGAAATGCATCATTTTGCCTTCGGGATATGCGTAAGTGGTTTTGCCGCGATCTGTATTGGAGCTTTTCCTAGTTCGTATTCTACAGTAGATGGTGACAGTTATTTATGTCACACAAAGAGCAAAGACTGAATATGCAGATTTCAATATGAATATTTCAGTCTGGCTCACACAAAGCTAGTGTATGTCATCAGAAAACCTGGAATATGTTTTTGTCAAGAGATGCTCAGACAGGTCTAAATATCTAATTTTATGTTCTACAAAAGAATGTCAAACAGATTTAGAACGACACCAAACGGCATACAGATTTTTGATATGCAAATTTCTAAGGCCACTAAATTATCAACATGATCCAAAAGGCTTTTTAGTATAGTTGTAAAAATGGCCCTCTTCAGGTTGTTGTACACATCTATTTGCTTTATAATCATTACTAAAATGTTAATGTAAGAATAACTTTTATATTGTTAGTAATATTTCATGATGAACACTTACTGGACTGGAGCAACTTAGATTTACTTGATCGTCCATTCTATCGTTTTAATTTGAAAAATCATGTTAAAATCTGATTATCAAATATGATACATTTAATCATGAAAATTGTAAAATGTTAGTAAAAAATAAACAAAAAAATAAAAAAAATAAAAATGTTTTTTTCTCCTCGAGTAGGAGTTCCACATTCTCCTATATCATGTATCAAATACAATACTCAACATGAAACACATGCACAAATGTTTTTTCCCCCTGTTTTTTTCTAAAGGTTCAATAAATTAATATTTGTTTAATATTGGGGGGAACTATCCTTTCAAGCCTCGTTCAGACTGTCAGCCCAAATCCGATTTTTGTGCAAATCCGATTGAAATCCGATCATATTAAATAGTCTGAACGGCAACGAACTACATGAAATCCGATTTTTGCAAATCCGTTTCGAGCTACATTCATATGTGGTTTGGAATCCTATTCAAATCCCATTCCTGAAAATCCGTTTCAGTCTGACCGGTCAGATCGGATTTAGCCTAGCTTTTTCACGTTTTCACGCCACGTAAAACGTAAAAACCGATTGAAATCCGATCATATTAAATAGTCTGAACGGCAACGAACTACATGAAATCCGATTTTTGCAAATCCGTTTCGAGCTACATTCATATGTGGTTTGGAATCCTATTCAAATCCCATTCCTGAAAATCCGTTTCAGTCTGACCGGTCAGATCGGATTTCGCCACGTAAAACATAAAAACGTCAAACGTTTTTATAGAAAACATAATGAACGTCTTTACAGAAACAAGCTTGTGTTGTTGCGAACTGCAAGTCAAGCGGAAAAAGACAATATACTGCTAGTATACGCACATCTTTGAGTTTTGAAACCAGCGGAGACGGCAGCACGGAATAAAGCCGCACATTCCAGCTTCCTGCGTTTCTGCTGCTGCCTTATAAGACGAAATCCATAATAATAAATAATCCAGCGCGACGGCAACATGTTGTCATGTCGTAAGACAACATCTGTATTGCAAACTGTATTGCTGTTATTGTTGTTTTTAGCATTGGCATAACAACGCAACGGCATTGCCATAGTAACCAACGCACATTCCATAAAACGTAAGAGCGCTTATGGACACACAAATCGGATATGAACAGTTGCAATA